TCTTACCCATCAAAGAAATGGACAAGATGGAGAAACTCACTAGAACGTACATTAAAGAAATAGTACGACTACATGGCGTCCCTATATCTATTATCTCAGACAGAGATAGTAGATTCACCTCTAGGTTCTGGCAATCGTTGCAAGAGGCACTAGGGACGAGGCTGGACATGAGTACAACCTACCATCCGCAGACCGACGGACAGAGTGAGAGGACGATTCAAACCTTAGAGGATATGCTACGAGCTTGTGTGATTGACTTCGGTAAGTCATGGGACACACACTTACCTCTTGTGGAATTTTCTTATAATAATAGTTATCATACGAGCATCAAGGCAGCCCCATTCGAAGCCCTCTACGGCCGCAAGTGTAGATCCCCTCTGTGCTGGACTGAGGTGGGTGACACTCAACTAGCTAAAGGAAGAGTTCCTGATAGCTCTCTCACTGGTCTGGAGATCATTCGAGAAACGACCGAGAAGATTTTACAGATACGCGAACGACTAAAAGCCGCTAGGGATCGACAGAAAAGCTACGCCGACAAACGAAGAAAACCCTTGGAATTCCAGGTGGGAGATCGAGTCCTGTTGAAGGTCTCACCCTGGAAGGGCACGGTACGCTTTGGAAAGCGTGGAAAGTTGAACCCAAGGTATACAGGGCCTTTTGAGATTCTCTCCAGAATCGGCCCCGTAGCTTATAAACTCAACCTACCTCACGAACTAAGCAACATACACCCTACCTTTCACGTCTCTAACTTGAAGAAATGCCTGTCAGACGAGACACTCGTAATTCCCCTTGACGAGATCGAGGTCAATGAGTGCCTCAACTTCATGGAAGAGCCCGTGGAAATTATGGATCGAGAAGTAAAGTGAACGAAGCAAAGTCGTATCCCAATTGTGAAAGTTCGGTGGAACGCCAAGCGAGGACCGGAATTCACTTGGGAACGCGAAGACCAAATGAAACTCAAATACCCCCATCTCTTCGCGTAGTTGTACTGTAATTCTTATATGCATGAATTCTAAAATTTCGGGATGAAATTCCCCTAACGGGGGGATGATGTGACAACCCCAAATCTATTCCCGTTACAAACCCTATTTTCACTAACGGAATGCGTCGTTATATGTTATTTCTCGGTATAGTTCGAGTCGTCAATAAATAAATATTTAGTTAATTATATGTTCCGGTATTATCATGAGTAATTATAACTTGCAAATGTTAACCCCGTTTAACTAAATAAAGTTATATTACTTTTCAACCACTTCACCCGGGTAAAAAGTTTTAACCCCGTTAAACTTTAGCATCGGGTAGCCGTGTATCAGATACAATACCCGAGACATATAAAAATGCTTGAACACTACAATTGAACTCTTTTACCACACTTTCACCTCTCTCTCTCCCTCTCACTACTTTCTCTCTCTAGACCCGAAATCGACTCCAAATTCGCGAATTTCCGACTTCCAAACGTAAGGATTCATCCCCTAACTTAATCTAAACATACTTTACTGCTTTTAGAGTCCAAAATCATAAGAATCAAGGACCAAAAAGGAGTTTACGGCCTAAGAAGCTTCATAGGCCGTAAACCCCCAAAATCATGCCAAAAACTTCATTTTTCCTTCCTTTAAGCTTATGGACTAGTTAAGGCATAAACCTAGGGGACTTTGGACACTAAAACACAAGGATTTGACATGTAAAAAGGAGTTTACGGCCCAAGCATGTGCTTAGGCCATAAACACCTCAAACACCCCAAAAACACTTGTTTAATGTCCCAAAAACTCATCTAGGGTGCTTGGCAATTTAGACTTGACAACAAGGAAGGCTTAAATGCATCAAACAACATCATTTGATGGCAAAAAGAGGAGTTTATGGCCAAGGCTAAGCTTGGGCCGTAAACACCCATATTTTCGTGTCAAACAAGTCCCAAAACCCCTCAAATGCATGTAAGGATTTTAGCTAAGGCCTTTGGAAGTGTGTTGTACCATTAAACTTCACATTTGAGCACAAAATGAAGAGTTTACGGCCAAGGATGTTCTTGGGCCGTAAACTCCCCAAAAATGTATGCCAAATTGTCCCAAACTCACTATAGGGCCTTCTAGGATTTATCTAAGGTGTATGAGACTTTGTTGTACCATTGAAACATACATCTTGAAGAGTTTACTTGAGTTTACGGCCCAAGAACAAGTCTTGGCCGTAAACTCCCCAAAAATGTCACAAATTATGATGTTTAATCCCTTCTAATTGTCCAAGACACATACCATTAAATTAAGGAAGTGAAATAAGGCCCTAATCATACATTTTGGAGTGTCACAAGAGTTTACGGCCAAGCCTAGGGGGCTTACGGCCGTAAACTCCCAAAGGATGGCCTTTGGGCCATAAACTCCAAAGGAGTGAGCTCGTGAACCCTCCCGTAAATCATTCATGACTTTGTACCACTCCCGGGAACCCTTTCTAGGCCTTAAAACCCCGAAAACGATGCTAGAATGTCCAAATACTATAATGAAAAGCATAAGATGATTAAATTCTTGTAAAATACATATTTCATATTACATTAGGGTCCTAGGAGGTGCTCAAGTGGTTATTGGGTACCAAACGCTCAATCGACACTTTTACCCGATTCACCCGATTTCCGCGATTTCAGGTGAGTTCATACCCCTTAAATGAACCTTTCAAATGTTTTATATGTTTTAGGGGGGAGATACAAGTTGAATATACATGTTTATGAAAAGTTATACAAGACTATTTTTCAGATTACAAAATTAATCACATGTGATTCACAACCTGTAGTTCAAATCACATGTGATTTATCACTATGCTTTATAAATAAATCAATTGTTTTCAAAACTATTTTGGATAAACAAACAAGTTCTAAATGTTTCTTTCGTACAACACTTTTGTTTAATAAAACTCCTCATAAGAATGTAACCATACTAACATATTTATATAAGTAAGACTTGAAGGACTTAGGACCGATAGCTCGCCTTATTTCCTGTTTCTTGTTTGATTGTGGGCTTAGGGTAGTGGTTATCCGTTCGACTGTCATTGATTTCTTAGTTATATATCTCGTATATTAGTACAGATTACGAGTACTTCCTATTTCATTAGATGCCTAAATCACTAACCTGATTAGAACTACACACTCTAATTTAACTATAATAGGTATAGTTAAGGATGCTATCCCTTGTTTCAACTACTACTCTACGCTACTATAATTCTCTCTATTACGAAGCAATACACTAATAAGAGAATACAATACAAGTTATACAAAAGACTACTACACTATAATACAAGAGAATGTACTAATCATGAGATAATTCACTAATCCACTACGAGATACTCTATACGCTACACACTACGCCCAAAGTTTTCCGATAGGAAGACGACACTATATGTATAGATCTATACGGGGCAGACGCTATTACATCCCGACTGATAACATCAGTCCGAGCCGCTCAGGCCCAGGGATGCCTTTACTCTACCACACTATGCATGACTGGGAAGGTCACGCGGGTCCGCTATTACTCACACTATTGGTAACGTACAAGAAAGACACTATAACCGCACTAAAATACTAAAAGAAAGATGAAGTAATATCCCGAAGTAAATAAGTATCTAATACTAAAAGATGTTGCACCACTATTATGCACTCCAAGAATAACTCACTATATTGCATTACTTAATGGTGAGTCACTATTACACTTCTATAATAAATGGCACTCAAAGATAGAAACAACATTTCTTAAAGATTTTCATTTACTATACAGTTCTGGGAAATACAGGATTTTCTAGGTTTTACCACTATTTATGATTACAAACATCAGTTTTCATACTAATGACTCTAATGCTTTTTATACAAGTACTCACACTAAACTCTTATGAACTCACCAGCTTTATGCTAATACTCTTTTCAAAATAACTTGTACCTTCAGGTCAAAGATAGACTGGTACAGCCGCAACATTTTTGGAGACGATGGAGGATGCAAGACCCATCTCTTATTTTTGTTTACTTTTGGTGTTTGTCAAACATTACAAAACACACTTGTAAATACACTTACTATGTAAATGAAATGGTTGTATGCTTCTTGCTTTTACTATTATACAATTGTGATGATACTGTACACTACGTCATCCACCCCGAAACGTATTCCGCCGTTATCGGTTTTGGGGTGTGATAGATTTAGCAAGAAGCATACAACCATTTCATTTACATAGTAAGTGTATTTACAAGTGTATTTTGTAATGTTTGACAAACACCAAAAGTAAACAAAAATAAGAGATGGGTCTTGCATCCTCCATCGTCTCCAAAAATGTTGCGGCTGTACCTGTCTATCTTTGACCTGAAGATACAAGTTATTTTGAAAAGAGTATCAGCATAAAGCTGGTGAGTTCATAAGAGTTTAGTGTGAGTACTTGTATAAAAAGCATTAGAGTCATTAGTATGAAAACTGATGTTTGTAATCATAAATAGTGGTAAAACCTAGAAAATCCTGTATTTCCCAAAACTGTATAGTAAATGAAAATCTTTAAGAAATGTTGTTTCTATCTTTGAGTGCCATTTATCATAGAAGTGTAATAGTGACTCACCATTAAGTAATGCAAAATAGTGAGTTATTCTTGGAGTGCATAATAGTGGTGCAGCATCTTTTAGTATTATACAATTGTGATGATACTGTACACTACGTCATCCACCCCGAAACGTATTCCGCCGTTATCGGTTTTGGGGTGTGACAGTATCCAAAGAGTAACTTGAGAAAAAGAATAAAATTAAAAAGCATGGCAGTATCCAAAGTAAGAAAACTTTATTCTAACCTATGACGTTGAGTCCTAAAGAATCATGAATTCATGATATAGACACTTGTAACTCATTACCTTCACAATGCTATCTTTAATAGCAGATTCCTAGTTCACAATCTTATTACTTCAATTTAAATCATCATCTCAATCAGGATCATTGGGTGCAACAACCAAAAATCCCAAATCGTGATGATTTGCTGATTTTCAGTCCTAAAGAATCATGATAAATCATCTTCTTCTTCATGATTTTTAGCGTAATTTGCAAGCAAACGCATGTAACAGACCTGTTGGAGTTGTCGAATCAGATTTGATGAGCTATTGGATTGGATTATGCAACAACAAACTCTACAAATAATATAAACCTGAAATCAAAAGAAGAAAAAATAAAAAATCACATCATATGAAACAATTAGTCATTAAAACTACAGCAAAACGGATTTGCTCGTCTATTAAGTCGACTGAAGATGTCATTTCGGACACTGGATGCTCAACCTTTTTTTAACATTAAAAAAACAGAGGGTCACAACATTTATCTATAATAAAATGGAGTTTATATTTTGTTAGTTTTTTTTTAACTAACTTGGATCTGGTGTTCATTTTTTTTAATATTAATATACTTTTTTTAACCGACCTGGCTTTCCTTAGATCTGGGGTTAATGCATGCGAGGGTGCTTCTTCAAGCAACTTCTGGTTCCTCCTCTGCAAGGGCAAAATCATCAATTTTACAATACATACCAATAAATATATAGAAGAAGTAAGCAACCAAAATAACTAATTGTACAACATATATATATATATATATATATATATATATATATATATATATATATATATATATATACCTGAATATTGCAGTTAAGCTCTCCAAAGTGAACTACATTTCCGTATTTATCTGCAAGAACCTCAAATAAGCATGTAGCTGCAGTTAGACACTCAACAAGTTAGTAGGGACAAACTGGGTTTTTTCGGTTTCACTATTACAAAAAACACAAAAACACTTACCAGGAACTCAATGTCACTTGGATTTTGGATTTATTTTTCCAAATGAGCACCATCATTTCCAAATGCAGATGCAGCCTCACTTTGGGCTTGTTGTTAAGAGAAAAATACAAACAAAAAGATGTAAAATTGGTTATGAAATTATAAACCAACAAAAAATTCATTAAACTAGTTAGCTGTAAATTTTAAAATACCTGCAATAATTTGATAAACTCAGCACGTTCTTTTGCAAGAAGCTCATTCTTACTACGAATATCAAATCCCTGTACAACACTACAAAAGGTAAAATAGTCACTTCAACAACAAAATGGAGGGTAAATTGATCATTTGAAACAACAAAAATACTTACCAACAACTAACAACACCAAACCTATAATTTTACTCATAATAACATCTTCCCCTTACCATTTATGCCCTTTTAACTAAAAAACCATAATACCCATTAGGATTTTAAGTTTAAAAAATATATGTCAAAGGAAATATTACCCTGATTTCTCTCTGATTGTGGCATTTCTTATCCAAAAACAGGCTGGTGTGTAGATTTACAAAATTAATATACACATAGTTAAACATACATATATAGAGATCTAGATCCAAATCCACTAAACCTACACAAACACAAAATTAAGAGAGAGAGAGAGAGAGAGAGAGAGAGAGAGAGAGAGAGGGTATGTGAATAGTAAAGAAAAAGGCAGCTAAACACAAACTTTATAGAAGATGGAGACGTGAACGCAAGTGGTGAGTCGCTCTTTTTTCAGTCAGTAACAGAGTGTGGTTACGATGGAGAATAGAAGTGAAAATATGTGATGAAATCACCGAATTAGGTTACCAAATTGAGGGTTACAATACAATTATACACTATGACTTCATACCTGTGAAAAAAAAATCCACAAATTCCCTTTGGGATTGAAGAACGCTGGTGGAGGTAGAGGTGCACTTCTAACACGTCGATCATCCATTAGAGAGGGAAGAACATTTGGGTGAGCACGTAAGGGTTGATGGGGTCAGGGATGGCTAGTGACCCTCTTCGAGGCTGTAACGGCAGCGTAGATGGAAGAAGCGATTGAAGATGGTGGTTGACAGGTCAGTGATGCGAGGAAGGAGAGGGAGTGGTGGTGATCTCGTAGAAAGAAATGGGGAAAATCCGTCTGTGGTGGTGATTTGTTGTTAGCAAAGTTGGAAGAAAAAATCTAGGGTTTAGACAAGAATGGGGCTAGCGTGTGTTTTAGTTCTTCTTTTCGACCTTTGATGTTAAGCTTAAAAGGGTTGTATGGAATGCAGTTATATTTTCACCTCTTAATTTTCAAGAAACATGTAATATGCTTTATATAATAGTAAAGATATATATATATATATATATATATATATATATATATATATATATATATATATATATATATATATATATATATATATATGAAAACATTGTGAGATTGAAATCCATATGTATCTCACAAGGTTTCCCGACCTGACCCACTCAGTTTATATGCATCACAGGTATCAAGACTTAAGCTATGGAAACTTGATTAGTATGCTGAGTGATTATGAGAAAGCGTGCAATGGTGTTCGAGACCATTAGGCCTTTACGCTATAACTTATGTATTGGTATTGATTATCACATCCTTAGGATTTTATTTGAGGCAATCTTGTACTCAAAATATTTTTACATACTGGGATTTTCTGCAAATGAAGTATCATGATTTTTAAAGTGTAGACAGTTCTTTTTGGTTCTGAAAATTAGAAGATGCCACATCACTCAAACTGAAGAATGAGAGATTTTCTAAACAAGCTTTTGAAACAAAAATGCTTTTATTCAAGGAAAAGATTTTCTAAAATATTTTAGTCTACATGGAGGATGTGATGTGTACAATCGGTGAAAGCCCAGTAAGTAAGTAATTCCCAATATGCCCATATGATCTTCTATTTTTGTTATGAACTGTTATGCATACTAGAATGTAGGCTGTATATCCACTCAAGAATTTCATGATAGAATTGTCTGAATTATGTGATGCCTTATAGCTCATAGAATTGTTTGTTATGTGCTTCTTGAAGTCTTGATTGGTAATGTTAATTGCTAGGTGTATGTTTTAGAGTTGTATACGAGTAGGATTGCATAACCTTAGAATGATTGATTTAGCCTTATATACTGTTCCTTTTCTGGTTGTGGGCTTACGGTTGAATCACTTATTCATGAGTCTATTTGGTCTTGTATTATGTATAACTTACATGCACGAGACAATCAATAGTGTTGTTGGGGGTTCTAGCAGTGTGGAAGCGAGTGATAGGAGTATCCTAGATATAGAGAGTCTAGGAAGTGTGGTATTATGTATGTGGCTAGACATATGCATGTTTGTGAGGAGTTTAGTGGGGTAAGGCGAAGTGACTTGGGAGTCTTGGAATAGTCTCTGGAATGGCTATGGATAGGTGTGGAAGGTAGTGATTGATCTCGTACCACTGAAATCACAAGATGCATACTTAGGTTAGGCAGTATGTTAGGATTATCGAGGAACTTGTTGGTGGATATGCATAGTATGGGTTTGCATTGTGCATTGATTTTGATTCGTTTACGTTAGCTTTTATATTCAAGATGATAATCTTTCTGTTGGATTAATGTCTAAGTCCATAACTATAATTGGTAAGACTTGACCCGACACGGCATGGTCCATTTGGGTTGCATACCATCATGCACTTGGATAGACTAAATGAGAGAAATAAGACACTTATGGTTAATAATATATTATAAGTTCTAGTATATTAATAATAAGAATAATGAGATTATTTAATTAGTATTGATCAAGAATTACTCTAGCATTAATTGAGTGATCAAAAGAAGACTAATTAAATATGTCGGTTGATTGTGTAAACCATCCATACTTGTATAGTGGGCTAATGCTCCATGGATTATCTACTTGGGCCAAAACCCATATGATGCTCCATGGTGTATTTGAACCCATGGATCCAAGGAAATGGAAAGTCATGACAATTAGGGTTTACCCTAATTGTATAACTATATAAGCATCTTATTCTTGAGGAAAATCGGCCACTAGTGAGACTAAGAAAGGGCTAGCCGATTTCATGAAGTGTAGAATTCTCTCTAAGTTATTCTAAGTGTTTTGATGATTGTGAACCATTTGAGGTGTCACACTTGGGGCACTAGGCACTCAAGCTTCATGAAGACAAGCACCATCAAAGAGGTATGTATTCTATCTTGTTATATTGATAGTTTTGTATGCTAGTTTAGGATAATACTTTGGATATTCATATTTGTATGTATAATAGAGAAAACATAGACCCAAGGTATTTAGGGTTGCATGTACACTTAGGAGTGTTAGAATGCTCATAACCCAACAGTGGTATCAGAGCCTAGGCTTGTTTTCTTGTTATACTTGCAATAGAAGCTGAAAAATCGAGTTTTGTTGCTGTCTACCCAGCAGACTCGCCGAGTCCATGAAAGGACTCGACGAGTCCAAGGCAAAATGCATCCAACTCGCCGAGTTGTGTTCATGCACTCGACGATTTGGACCCCAGACAACATACTTTCGAGGTTTTTGGCTAGAAATGGACTAGGAACATTACCCTAAGTTGTTTTTGAACTTATAAACTTGTTTTTTGATGTGGTAATGTTCATGCTAATCCATTTTCAAAGATAGTTGTCAATAGATTCATGTTTTGTATTAATTTAAAGGTTAGACTAATTACATGAAAAAGTTTGATTTGAATTATCTTGTTCTTATGAGTTACTTAGATTAATAGAAAAGTTGAATGAAATAGTTGTTTTCAATCCAAATTAATCTAAGAGTTGATTCTAAAATGTGTTTTTGTAACTTGTCCTCAAGTTATATGAAAAGTCACATTTAAGTTTCATAAAACTCATAAAAATTGGCAAAGGTTACAAAAATGAAGAGTCTAGTTCTAATTAATTGGAGTTATGACTCCATAATTTGTCCTCAAGTTATGGAGGACCAAGAGTCTCTTCATTAAATAAATAAATAAAATATGTAACCATAATTAAATCCATAAGTTATAAATAAAGAAAAGTTAATTCTTTTATTAGTTTAAAGTCTTCCATAAGTTATGGAACTTGAAGAGTTTTTGGATTAAAACTACTTTAAACACATAAGTTATGGAATTAATTAGTTTTGAATAGTTTCAAAACTTGCCCTCAAGTTTTGGAATTTGTAAAGTTTTCTCTTATGAATACTTTAATTCCAAGTTAGCCCTTAGAATTTTAAAAGTTAAAATTCAACCCTTATACTTTATAATATTATAAGTTAATAATATATATATATATATATATATATATATATATATATATATGTATAAGAGTAAAGTCGGTCTTACCGCTAGTACGCCTCATTCACGAAGCCGGTCTATAAGGTGGGTATAAGGTTGTTGCCTATAAAATGGCAACTTAATGGGTGTCCACTCTCACCCACCGCTTGCTTGACTGGTGGAGGGTCGTTAGCCGAATGGGTTTGACAGGACTATAATTCTCCCTTCATTAAAAGTATTAATGATAAATACTAAGTAACTAAACTTTTATTAATACCCAATCTTAGTTACTTAGGAAAATGTGAATAAGGTGCTAATCCACGAAATTACACTTTGCACTTTGTTTGAGTCGGTTAGTGGAGCGCGTGTGGTTAACTGGCACACTAACTCGTATTTAACAAGGTAGGCAAAGGGTAACTTAATGTTGATCATAGTATCGATGGAGCGCGTGTGGTTAACCAGCACATCGATTGATGGGTAAACACTTAAGGGTACCAAGTAATTTGCATGGTTACTTCAAACCTTGTTTTGTGATCCTTGGCATCCCAGTCACAAAACCTGAAGGGCACACTCGAGATTGAAACATGCCATTGAACAGTTCAATGAATCTCAAAAGATCTAGGAGTTTCAAAACCAATTAAAACCTAATAATACATTTCGTTTATCTTGGTGGAAATTGGTGAATCGTCATTCACCTACCTTCAAATTGTTTTATAGATTGGATTGCGGCATACCTCTTCTAAGTTATAAAATAGTTTGTTGGGTCCTAGCCTTAATATTTCATATTGGGTGTCATATTAAGGACTTAAGATCAACTATCTTGAATATCTCCCAAAACATGTCTGGTTTAGACATTTATGATCTTCCCAAATCTCTTGAAACAAGCTTTCCTAAATGAAGATGATGTCCCATGGAAATCATACTTCTTTCACCTCCTCCAATTATTCTCCCCACCCCACAAGTTCTTGAAAAGTTTAAGATCACTCAAGCCCTATTGGTAAGGCAAGGTCTAGGTGTGGTCACATCTTGGAGATGTAGTCACATATTGACAAGCCGGGAGAGAAGGGTGTCAAAGTCTTGAGAAAGTTGGTGGTTCAACTAATTTCTAAGTCACATAGTGAGTTCTTTTGGAACACCTATGAAACAGACTATGACAAGAGCCTTAATGATCTTATTTATTTGTTAAGATCAACTTCCTCAAAACTTGATGGACATTGACAATAGTGACACAGGAAATCCAGAAAAACATTCTTTTCCCAATGGAAAGGGATTGGCCATAGTCAACTCGGTTGAACAAATGGTAAAGAGAAAAACTAAGTCTGTGATAGTCCCATGTACCATTATCAAAGTGTCCATATGTTTATATTGCCAAAGGAATGGGAATTGGTTGAGAAGCTGCCAAATTTACCTAAGGATGTTAAAGTCAATAAGTTTGACTCTACTTCAGGTAAAGTCCACCATCTAACTATGTTAAGTTTCTATTCTGAGATTCTTATTACATGATGTGACTGGGTCACATGTTGATGTTTTAAGAATTAAGGAAAAAAGTGAAGGAACTTAAAGAAAGAATATGCTGAATCTGATCGCATAGATGGATCTCTATCGCGTAGTTTGAAGATCGATTCTTGAGCTACTTCTTAGGAGTTATGAGGTATTGCTTAGGAATAGATAACAACAAGTTTTCATA